ATAAATTTAACTACGCGATTGGGCAATCGGGTGGGATAGGATGTACGTAAATAAATGATGTAAATAAAGCGGTAATTCGCGAAGATAAATGGTAATAGTTTCTCGTACATTGTACTTATTTATTTGGGAACAACCGTGACGATTGAGACAGATGGTAGGTTGATAAATCGAGTTATACGAGTAACCGGTTTTCCGTGTAACCGTGCGATATAAAACGCGGAATCGAGAGTGCAGAATATAGAAACGAGTGTATAATTGCTCGTAACAGAGGATGGTATTGTGGTAGTGGTTACAGGTAGCCCTCCTATAACACGGTTTCGCTATAACACGATTTATAAATTACGGGAACACTCGTACAACGCGGCATCCTATAACACGATTTCGCTCTAAAGCAATAAGAAAATTGCAAAAACTTTTGTACAACACTGTACTTCTACATAAGTGACGACGAAGAAATTATTAAATTAAAGTCGCGTTAAATTAAAATAATATTTTTGTTCTTTTTTTTGTTTTGTTTTGTACATACATTTATATTTTTAATAAAAATTAGGTTGTCAATGTAGAATTTAAAAAAAAATTTATTTTTAGTAAGTTTTCGGAACATAATCCCCCGTTTTGTACTGGCCCTGGGTCTCATACAACACGGTTTCACACAACACGCCATTTTCTGGGAACCTATCTACCGTGTTATAGGGGGGTTACCTGTACATAAATTTTTAAGTATATATGCGTTGAGATGAGTGGAACAAGTATGCATGGGATTAAAATATGCAATGAATTCAGGTTATTATGATAAATGAGTATGCGTGTAATGATCGAGGTGTGTGTGAATTGTGTATGTCAATGTAACGCATGAAGAAGAAAGAAGAAAAGAGTGTGATTTGGGATACGTTAGTTGCAATTGAGTTATAACAGTGAGAAGTCCAGTGATAGAGTAATTGTGAGAAATTAATTATATTTAAACGTTATATTTGTGTTTTGTAATCTTTCTAATTAAATAGAGAATCGTTCTTGTTATTAAATTTCATCCACCACTAACTGGTATGCGTTTTATTTTAACTTGAAAGAATTGAAAGAACGGAAGCGTGGAATTACGTAAAATTACGTAAAATTCTGCGCGAGAAAATAATAGCACACCCTGTAACTCTGTTTTCTGAAACTAACGCGATGTATGCATATGTTGCATATGCACTCGTATAATGTGTCCGGTTCTTAATCATGCACGGGGATATCGACTACAGTGTCTTTCCGCAAATTTCACTCGTTTACGTGAAAAATGAGCACGAAGAATTGATAATGCGGGTGTCAAAGAGCAAATAGAAAATCTTCTTATGCGTTTTTAGGCATTGAATCTGAAATTGGAAGCAGAAATTGTGTATCATTTTGGGTTCGTGAAATAAATAAACGAAGAGCATCGATTCTAGACATTTCTAGGAAGATATATATTCCAAAAATCGTAATTCTTTTTCGATATCTCTATCATCTGTTTTAAATAGTTCTAAAATTCAATTTTCCCTCGTGAAATTAAATTTTATTTATCATTGGACGATTCTTCCAAGTTGTTTGAGAAACACTGAAGATTACTTTATCGCGTGCTGTAATTAGGATAAATTTATAATGAATGAATGGAAAAATTTGATTGATTGCTATCTGGATCAATTATTACCATTTCTGCGAAGGTATATATTCCAAAAATGATAATTCTTTTTCGAAATCTCTATCGTCTGCTCTAAACACTACTAACCTTCTCTCGTAAAATCAAATTTGATTTATAATCGAACGATTCTTACAAGTTACTGGAAAAATACTGAAAATTATTTTGTCGTGTACTGTAATTGGGATAAATTTATAATGAACGTATGGAAAAATTCTATTCGTTCGCATATCGATCAATTCTTGCCATTTCTACGAAAATATATATTCCAAAAATGATAATTCTTTTTCGATATCTTTATCAGCTCTAAAATTAAATTTTCCCTCCTGAAATCAAATTTGATTTATAATTGGACGATTCTTCCAAGTTCCTCGAGAAATACTGAAAATTACATCGTCGGATACTGCAATTAGGATAAATTTATAATGAATGTATAGAAAAATTTGATTGATTTTTTATTCCAAACATGGTAATTTATTTTTCAATGTCTCTATCATCTATTTTAAACAGTTCTAAAATTAAATCTTCCCGCGTAAAATCAAATTTGATTTATAATTGAACGAATTCTTCCAAGTTTCTAAAGAAATACTGAAAATCACTTTGATGCGTATTGTAATTAGGATAAATTTACGATAAACGTGTAGAAAAATTCTACTCCTTTCAATTTCTACGAAAATATATATTCTAAAAATGGTAATTCATTTTCGATATCTCTATCATCTATTTTAAACAATTCTAAAATTAAATCTTGCCTCGTGAAATCAAATTTGATTTATAATTGAACGAATTCTCTAAGTTCCTCGAGAAATAGCGAAAATCATTGTATCGCGTACTGTAATTGGAATAAATTTACGATAAACGTGTAGAAAAATTCTACTCCTTTCAATTTCTACGAAAATATATATTCTAAAAATGGTAATTCATTTTCGATATCTCTATCATCTATTTTAAACAATTCTAAAATTAAATCTTCCCTCGTGAAATCAAATTTGATTTATAATTGAACGAATTCTTCCAAGTTCCTCGAGAAATAGCGAAAATCATTGTATCGCGTACTGTAATTGGAATAAATTTACGATAAACGTACGGAAAACTTCGATTCCTTGCCTGATCGATGAATAATCGGCAGCATTCTCGAAAATTAGGAGTGACATAAGCAGTACGAGTATCTCAAGTACCAGACGGTATTTAATCGGAAATAGAGAAGGTCTGATGCGAGTGAAAAATTGAAATCCGGGATCCGAGAGCACTTTCATCCGCGCTTTAAAAGACCTGACCTCCTACCCGACCAAGGCCGCGAAGATCCATGATAAATTAACACACGGGAGGATCTCGATGCACCATCTTGTCTTATCGACCCCGGTACCGCCAATCTTCCCGAATTAGAATTTTCACCAACGCTTACGTATCAAATACCTACACCCTATTTAATCGGAGACGGAGAAGGCCCGGCAGGGCTGAAAAATTGAAATCCGGGATTAGACGCCACTTTGATCCGTGCTTTAAAAGAGTTGACCTTCCACCCCGGAGAGCTGCGAAAATCAATGAGAAACACCGGCGCGTTTCAGGGAGAGAGAGTGCAGCTTGCACTGGCCACTGGAAAATCGTGTAAAACCCTAAAACCCTGTGACAAAGAGTTACGCTGCTCCCTACGTCACGCTTCGTTTCATAATTACGATATTCGCGTTGCGAAACGCGAATTGGCGCGTTCGAAAAATTTGGCACGTCCCTGGGCGTGCACGTTGTGCATAAACACGCGCGTGTACAGCGATAATTATCGATGCGGCAATCGATATTGCTGCATTCGTGCCTATGAGAATCGTCGAGCCTATCAGCTCCGCGTCCTCCTTCCTGGACGCCGAATGCGCCCCGTAACCGCATCGATTTCTAATTTTCCACGAAGATAAACCGAGCGGACGGTAATCGACGCCCGGGAGGCCGATAAACCCGGGGGTAAATCCGGAAGAGAGCAGGAGACCCGAGAAAGAAGATAAGATCTAGGAGGAAAATTCGCAGGAAGAGTAGCAAGGACGGGATCTATCCAACCGGCATGCTCCAAGCGACTGAGCCGAGGAGGAGGTCGAATGGGCTGGCCAAGGGGTGGCGAAGGGTGGCGAAGGGTGTCAGGGACCTCTTTATATGGGCCACGAGATTCGGCTCCGACGATCATCTCGCTCCACCGAGGGTCGGACCCGTGCCACGCGCGATACGAAAGAACCAAGGGTGGAAAGCGCGACGGGGATGAAGGGGGGGCGAAATTACCATGGGGATGAAGAGGGAAGACGCAGGAAGGAACGGCAGTCGTTTTATTTGTTTTCCGATGAAACTACCGAATACCGGCGCGCCTGTTTGTTTGGCTGGTTAAGAACAGTTTAACGACTAGCGATACTCGTCTCGTTTCTTGTTTGCCTACCCGATAGATTCGACGAGACGAGACGAGACGAACCGAACCTGAGAGTAATACGTTGATTATCGACGTATGAATTGCAAGAGCGGGTAATAAAAACATTTTCGAACTCCGATCGCCGGTGTGCGAACGCGGAATATTCTGAGGCAAAAGTCGCGTGGTTCATTGCCAGCTCGCGCGGACGCCTCGTTGCGTCATAATTATCACCGATGACTGCTAACGAGCGCCGTTCTTCGCGGAAATACGCGTAATTCTAACGCCTCGAGCAGCTGCAATTCGCTCGGAACGCGAGCGATCGTGACGCAATTGATCCTCGAAAAATCTCTACGTTGGAGAGATCACGTCGCCTGATGGATCATAGGCAGAGAGGTGAAACGAGGGGAGGGACGAGGCTGGTGGGCATTTTCCTGGTAATAAATCCGACTCGTAAACCGTGGAAAAGTCACTGCTAGCCAGAGGTATCTTCCACGAAACACGAAGGGGGAAAGAGGAAGAAACGGGCAGCGAATTTTGATCGATAAACCGGGTCTGTCTGCATGCAAGCGTGAGAAAAACGGGGAGCACTTACCTTGCGTGATTAGGCGCGCGATCGTTCGGTTTAGCTAGAGGAGTTCGCTGAACTAGACACCGCCGGCGTGTAATTTCGTGACGGGGACAGAATTAACGACGTCTCGATAGCCATGGGACTATGTTTCCCTTCGTTAGAGAACACGCGATGCTTCTTTCGTTATTTTTCGCAGAGAATGGTACACGTTTAGTCCGCTGACTTTCCATCGAGATGAATCGAGATGAATCGAGATTAACGCTCGATCCTTAGACCCAGCAGGGGGATAAAGTTATTCGGACAGACAGCATGCGACACGGATAAGCGGCGTAGAAGATACTCTGTAACACAGTCATGCAGATGGACTGGTACGATGAAAGATCGGCTGGTCCTACCTTAGAACGTAATTCACGCAGACGACAGAGAGCGGTTTTTGCTGCTTCGAGCAATGGATCAGAGTAGCCTGTGTCACGATCCACGCGTAGCCTCCGCGCTTCCCGAGGAATCTGTAGGCTACAGTCTCGCACTGGCCTTTGCTGAATACTGAAACAACGCGAAACAGAGATATCAGTGGTGCTGCAAGGACTCGCCTGCTCCATACCGTTTCCGATTCTATATACGCGCAAGAGGGGCATCGATACTGCGCACGCAACGCATCCTGGATGACGAAAGATTCGCGCCAGAATTGCCAATCTCTCCCACCTTGAATTTCTCGCACGTATTCGGGTGAACGCGAAATTTTGATCGAGCTGAGGCAACTACGGGACCGATTATCCTTGCACGCAAGAACCTCGAGAAAGCCCGACAATTTCTCGATACGAACGGAATTTGGCTCCCTGTCACCGGGTTACAGTGATAGGGACCATTTCACGTTTTCCCTGTGAATTTGGATACCACTCTGGACGAGGTTTATCGAGGTCGATGCGTGGCTTGGGCGGTTTCCATTATCGCGGTTCGCAGGAAGAACGGAACACGCGTGTCATTGAATCCATATGACGTAAAGCGAGAAGCTGGAGGAGAGATTAGCCGAGTCCGATCGCGATTCACGAGTAACGCGTGCATCTACTGCTACGCGATGTAAAAGCGTGACAAACTTTCCTACTGCGAAGCAGAACAAGGAATTAAAGCGAGAAGGAAAAGCGTTATATATTACAAGTGGTATTGTTTAATTGATAAAGAACTAGAAAGTAAGACTATAAGTACGAGCATCGAGTGATCTATGTACGTCATCCAGGGATAAAACATGTAAAGCCATCGCTCTAGCTACTAATGGTAGATGATAAATCGTGAAAGACGCGTGCCCCTTAAAATCCCGTGAGATTATTACCCTTGAAACCGTTCCCTTTACGGTGTCGTTCACCCGAGCCGACCATCCCATACCATACCAACTGGCACCCTTTCCACCCAACGCCCACGACTTAACCTTTTTCCTCCACGACAGCTACGTCGATCGATGCCACCACGCAACTTTCTTCCGTATTAGATGCATAACATTACGACGAGAAGGGGCCAGAAGAGATACAGCTCGGGAACGAGGTCACATGCCAGATTTTAAACCCTACCGTATAAGCGTGTGGCCTTACAACGCGGTGGAAACCGTTCTCTCCTAACACCAAAAGAAGTAGACGTTCGTTTAAAGCGATAACAAAATTTTCGTTTTCTTCCCTTTTCCTCTCTCCCTCCTGTTTCTTTTTCTTCAATCGTGCTACGAATCGGAGATCTCTGTACACGCACGCAAATAAAACATTCACGGTCCGCTTCTGAAATAGCGAGTGGGTCGTGAACGATCGCGTTTATTCAAATCACCATCAATTGGCTTTTACTCACGTGATTTAAAAGATTTGTCCAGAGCCAAATTATCGAGGGCGTGATAGAACTCGAAAACGGACTGCCCCACTAACTCCTCGCTGTTCCAGCCCAGATACTCGGCCAATCTAACGTGTGCGATAACAGGCATAGAAAGATACATTCTTATAAAATCCGGACATGGTTTCCATTAGTCCAAACGCAACGCGATCCGCAAACGTACTCACTTTTCATCGGCGTACGTGAATTTCATACTGAGAGTGTGCTTGGAGAGGAACGTGTGACGACCCAATGGGATTTCTATGTTACTAGGATGCGGTATGGGACATCCTAGGAGCACCAACGAGGCACCATTATCTCGTTCGTTCTCCTCGTCGTCGCTCTTCGGCTCCTCGTCGTTGTCCTTCGACGAATTCGGCACCGGATCACGGATATACGTTAACCTACCGGTGCAGTGAATCACCTGGCACAAAAGAACGTTGCATAATGAACGCAAACGGTAACCTTTTTCCCACGTGTTCTTCTTTGTCGCACGGCGACTGGTGAAATTTTTCGAGCGTTCGAAGCAGTCGTTTACCTTGTAGGAAGCACTCTTTAGATTGACCTTCCTGCCTTTGCTGGTCAGCGTGCACTTAAGTCGCAGGAAAAAACTGCAAGCACGCTTCTCGTTGTTCTCAGGTGGCTTCGAGGACAGGCATTCCCGCAGTTCGTCGTGATCGCACGGGTGACTGTACTCGTACACGCTCTGGCCCATCATGTCCATCTAAAACGAACAAAGGAAGGGTGTCTCGATAGATCGGGAAACATCGATTCCGTTCTCCAGCCTCTTCCCGATCTCGCCCGAGGAAACGCACCTGGGATACTCCAAGATAATCGCTGACGTTCTCAGAGAGGTAGACCATGTTTCCGTCCCCGGAGAGCACCAACATGAAGCCGTTTAGAGCTTTGGAAAATAGCTCGTCCATCTGATTCAGCGTCTCGGACTTGGTCAACGGGCCTGGTACTAGAGAGGCGACGGAGGAACAGAAAATAGGAAAATAAAAACTCGAGTCCAAGTTTGAGGAAGCGAATATTTGTCTGAAGAAAGTAACACTTACTGAAATCCACCACCGAACGAACTTTCAGAAACGCGATGGCGAGTCTCATGACACTGGCCTTGTCCAAGTGCGCAGCCTGCTCCGATGGCACCGGAAGTGCAGCAGCCAGCTCCGTGAAGATGTCCGTCTCCTTGCTACGACGGTATCGCGCCGCATCGCGAGACTTTTCCTTCCTCTTCTCGTTACTCCTGCAACAAGCAAACATTTCGATTCGAATCCCGTTAAATCTTTACGCCGAACTTTGTCCAGGTACTTTCACCCTGTTTCGTCGAAAACACGCTTTCGAACGGGAGAATCGAGCGAGGTATCCGTAAAACGGATCTGCAGAACGATTTCCTCATAGCTTCGTTACGTAACGAGAGTGAACTGAGTAACGAGAAAAACGGCGACCATGCTAGTAGGTAAATGTCGCGACCCTGAAGAAACTGGAAAGGTATCTGTCAATGTCCAATTGCAGAACTGCATTCCCCGAGTGGGCACGATTGAACGGGGAATCGGTATCTCGTATCTTTGTTGTTTACAACGTGGCGAGGTTGTAATTGGCTGTAATAAAGTGGGCATCTAGATGGAAATATCGGCTAAAAGGTGAGATTTACGTCGAAATCGGTGTGTCACGTCTCGACTATCTCGACTGTTATCTCTACGAAGCGACCTTCGTGCTCTTTCCTTCGTTCCTTCAAAATACCGATACAGTGTCCCGCGTTTACCTCGTGCTCCCTTCGGAGCCGATCGAGCTGTTATCGAGAGAAGGGAAAAGCCTGCGGACGTCGGACAAATTCTTTTCGAATGTCCCGGATACGTTTATCGTGGTCGTGTGTGTACGTATTTCCGATTCCCCGCCTGTGTATTTCAGTTAATTCGAGTTTCCCGACCTAATCTTCGCCGCGATTACGCACGATAGGGGAATTATCGGTCGTGGAGGCTAAAATAAAATTCCCGACGAGAGGTGGCCGCTGTTTGCATTTCGATACTCGAGTAACGTAAAAGAGAAACCTCTTCGCGTCGGTATTCGACATCGGAGTCCCGCTGTTGGGTACCCGAGGTTATCGGAAGAACGGTAACGAAGAGGCACCATCGGAGAGCATAGCTCGAGTGCCTATTAGATACCCATTACCCGGAAAGTCTGTCGAAACTCGGAACATGCTCGGTGCTCGATGACGGGAGCATAACCGAGCACTTACAAATAATCCTCGAGAAGCTGCTCGTCCTCGTTGTACCCGTATCCGAGATACCCGTTCCGCAGGTCCTCGTACGCGCACGGTGGCAGTACGTTTTGCCCGTACGAGTAGGTGGTGTCGTACAGGGGGCAACGATCGCTGGCTGGACATTGAAGCCATCGTTCCTCGCTGCAAAAAGTATACGACTGAGGACAGTCGCGGCAGAGTTGTTCTTCGAGCCAATCGGTGCACGGGAGATCTGCATCGTTCGACGAGAACCCGTGGGACCGTTCGACGAACGAGTCCGGGTAGGGGCCGTATCTCGTGGACCTGGTACGACGAAAGTTTGACGAATTGCTGGGTCGATAGACTCGCGGCGGGCAATTAGTCTGCGATTTGTCGGGTTCAAAGTAGAGGGCCAAGTCCTCGACGTCCACCGGGCCGCCCAGCTGGCAATTCTTCGCGGCCACGGAGTTAAGCGCGCAATCTCGATACTGGCTGCATTGGAATTGCTGACACTGCTGCAGAGGAATTGGATAGACTAACGATTCGAGATCCGACGGCACGTCGAACGGATCCTTCCGCGGTGCATCGCAGTAGGATCTCTCCGCGGTGGGATTCGGGGGTTCGTAATGGTGGAGCGGCAGGGGTTGCCGAGTTTGTCGGGCGAATCGACAGGACGGCAGGGTGAATCGATCGTCGTATATACTCGGGTAGTCTGGCCGTCTGGCTGACCAGTCGGAGCAACGACCGGATTCATTAGCGGGCGAAGTATGGATCCGATGGACACGTGGCGCGATCATCGCGCTCGATCCTTGCCGCGTCCCTCAAGGGTCAACCGGTTCGCTTCGCGATCCACGAGCGGATGGGATCGATGGATCGTTCCTGGGATTTTTACGCTGCTCTAAACGCCGGCGTCTCTCTTCCCGTTACTCGCGTCGGATTGACGCACACGCGGGACCACGAATAAAAGTTTGGCCCGATTTTACTCTGCCTCCCCCGGCCCCCCGGATACGGGCTGGGGTACACCTTATTCTTCGTCTTCCTCCTTTCGCTCCGATCCCTCCTACTACGGCGTGTTCTTTTTTTAACGTCGAGCCTCTTCGAGCTGCTGCTTCTTCTCTCGAACAGACTATATGCTGTGCTGCTTACTGTTAATGGACCTAGCTGGTCACGCGTTTGCTTTTCTCCCGATCTTTCTTTCTCCACGTCCTTTCCACTAGGCGAGATCCGGACGGTTCACTGCTCCCGTTCGACTTTCCTCTACCCTTCGTTCCCGCCGTTCCAAAGATCCACGTTTTATCTTAACGACGACGTCGAGCGTTGTCGCGCCAATCGCACACGTATGCCCGAGCGAGTCCGAAGAAGGAAACGCGCGTGTCAAGACCGATATCGAACAGATCGGATCACCGGTCGCTGGAGTATCCCGTCGTGGACTTGGCTCAGTTAGAGAACTACATTCTCGTGGCCAGGACGGAAACGCACTTGGGAATCGTCCGCGACGCAAGATGGCATTTTCGCTGGCTCGACGGTTCATGCGATACTAGAGCCGAGAACACAAAACCTTGTTGTCTCGCGCACTCGGCGCGATGGCTATCTTCCGGCGATAACGATACTACCTATCGTGATACACGATAGACCAGTCTCCCTGGATTTCGTTCTTCAGGCCGAGCTAATCTCCCAATTGCGTCAACAGCTTCTGCGTTGTAAGAGCGAACGAATCGCGTCAGAAAGCCCAGGTACCCTGAGAATTCGCGGACGAGATAATTCGTCCATTCGAGTCCATTCCTCCGGAGAAATCGGGGGAAAAGGATCCGATCCTAGTCTTCTAATCTCCCAATTGCGTCAACAGCTTCTGCGTTGTAAGAGCGAACGAATCGCGTCAGAAAGCCTAGGTACCATGAGAATTCGCGGACGAGATAACTCGCTGGACTCGAGTCCATTCCTCCGGAGAAATCGGGGGAAAAGGATCCGATCCTAGTCCTCGTCCTCGTCCTCGTCCTCGTCCTCGTCCTCGGCAAAAATATCGAGATCGAGATCGAGATCGAGATCTACCAAGGTTACCGTGAGTGATCGCGTAGATCTGGTGGGATTAGGGTACCTAATCACCTGCTGACACGGACGTATTCACCACGCTTTCGCGATTTTGCAACGCGTTACATCGCGATGGCGTAGAAGGGGAACGGGTGTCACGCGCCAATCGACGATACGCTTAGGCGATCGGCCTTGATCGAGCAAACTATCGCGACTAAACGCGGAAACGACACCTGACTCTGGACAGCGTTAATGGTACCGCCATTGTTCGCCGTTTACCAGGTGCTCGGGTACTACCGTTGGTCGTAAATGTCTCAGAAGTGCAACCGTGACCTGTCTCCGGGCTGACCGGGACAGGTGCAGCCTTCGCACGACGTCCAAACGGAAATACCCAACGGAAGATACCCGAATCTGAGATGTCGATAAAAAGAAATTCGTGTCTCGATGTTACGTCATATCGATCGAGGCTGAATGGCATTCGTGAATCGTTGAACTTGCCCGATTAACGAGACGACCTACGTGCTGGCTATCTCGCAGATAGCAGATACATGCAGATTTTTAATTTTAATTAGTTCGATAGGAGGAATTGAAAGTGACGGGGTGTTGGAGAAAAATTGACTGGGATTAGCGTGCTAAATAGGACGAGTAACAGGCGCGGCTGGTAAAAATAGCCGAGATTCGATAGTTCCTCGAACGTATAGACAACCTGTTAATGGTCTATACGGGACTAATTGGGAAAAGAAAGTTTCCAGAAGGTCGCGTGTTTGCCCGCCATTCGAACATGCCGCCGAACCCACCATGCTCTCTACGTGTGCGTGTCGCTATCGTAACGCGCAGGAGAAATACGTATCTACGACTAGCCCGAAGCAGAGAGAGTTCTCCCTTTCCGCCAAATGAAGTTATACCGAGAGCCGAATGACTATTATAAATTCACGTAACGCGCTATCGCGTCCGACCGTTACGCGCCTTTAAGGTTATGTGTGTGTATAAGAGATTTTCGTCGCGACGATCGAGATACGATACGTGTTACTAGTTACATACACGTCTAGGGATATCGAGAAGCGATTGGACTAGATTCGTCGATGGTCGTTTTGGATTTTTTATTTCTCGAAATTTCAAAACATCGGATCGGGACAAGCTTTGGACGAAATTAACGTTGACCTACATTTGCTTGGAAATTATTAGATTATTATTTGATAGTCCTTCGATCATGATAAACGTAAGATAGGTTTAACTGTTATATATAGAACGGTAGTGCTAATTTATTCGTAAGTCGATTGTTTAGGAAGCGGACAAAATTTGGGTAATATTTATCCGAGCATATCGGTGACACGTATTTTATATACGAGATAGAATATCCGTGGAAAAAGCACGAGACGGGTACATGTAAATAAGGGTACCAACGCTTTATCTCGGTATGGCTTCTTTGATTATGCGACGACTCGAAATTAACATACACGATGTGCGTGACACTAGCGCTCTTGATTTATCTGAATTTCAATGGTTCCGAGAAAACGATGCGACTATTTTTACGATCGACGGAGATTTATCTATTGCGCACGTGTACAATATTTGAGCGAGAATTTCGCGCCCTAGAAAAAGTATGGCCGCGTGAATAACGACGCGATATCGTTACCGACGATAACGTATATGCGTAAGTTGATACGTATACGCGATGGCAAGTTTTCATGACAGTTGCGAATTTGTAGGTTATGGCGCCACCGTTTTGCTTTTTTCATTTGGCAGCTCTATCGGGTCGAGTACTACCAGCGCCGTTCTAACGACTCGTGCGAAGCTCGCGTTAGAATGAATATACTGCGTGCACGTGGAAAAAACAGAAACAAATATCGAGTACGATTTATGTGAAGTACGACTTGTTTCTCTACCGCGATACAATACAGCGTACGCACACAAAGTGACAAAGCACGCTCTTTGGCCCAAAAATAGAATTATCCTAGAGGTACTCGATATCGCGAGAACATCTGTGACGAATGTAACAATGGTCAACTCGAGTGCATGTATCTTCCATTCAAATGGCGCTTCATTTAAAAGGAAGAAAAGAGAAATCGTGAATCCCCGCCCAGGCTTTTGCGGCGCTACGGGTTTTACCAATATAACGTGGCAATTCACGTGAACCAATGTTTAAAGCAACCCGGCAAATTATCGTTGCATTTCCTAGTATGCGGAAGGTTATCTGTTTTCTTTCTCACTCTTACGGTCTACGCGATCACAGCTGGAGAGCAAATGAAAAGAGATCGGATTATTAGAGGGAAGAGGCATAAGTAATCTCTTAACGAAGAGTGGGGAGAAGAAAATATCAGCAGTGGAATAGGAAGAGAGAGAGCATGAGAGAAACAGAGAGAGAGAGGCTACCGACTCGGAGGAAACGCGATTGCGTCAAACACGCACGCATTCACTCACGCATATACAACGCGATATGCGCGCGCGCGACACACTGAATTTGCTTCGGTGTTCGTCAATTTCAAGATCTAAACAGTGTCTGCGAACAATCATACGATCGAACGAGATGGAATGTCATACCTCGCGAGATACTTGCATTTTTTAGTGAAAATTACGAAAACTCCAGATAAAAGTAACGTAATGTCCATACGGGTGCACTGAGCTTTAATTTTTGTGCAATTCACTCACCTTCTTTTCTCCTTGTGTTTCTTCTCTCTTTTCGGAGGATCCATTGCAAGGCGAAAAATTTGGGGCAAAGTTTTTTTCCGACGGTACGACACTCTAGGATACTCTCGGTCACTGCCAAGGAACGTATCCAGCATATAGTCTGCCTCGACTCGTCACGAAATTCTTCGTTCTAATTGTCTCTCCCGTACTTTGCTCGCACCGACTCCTTCGTGTTCTCCCGTTATCGAAATCGATGCACCAACATACGTTCTCCACTATGTACGCGACGTCACCTCTGCTTAGTTACTTCCATTAACGTTATGAAACGAAAACACATCGTTCTCTTCCACCCGTACGAAACGTTCGACGAACGCCAAACTCATGGTGTGATGGCGATGACGATGACGATGGTGAAGCTAGTAGTGGTAGTGAAACTCGCTACAACAGTGGTGGTGGTAAACGACCGCGGCGTGGTGGTAAAGGTTGTATACACGAGACCGACTGTCCAAAGGGTTGGAACGAAAGAGGGGAGACCGTAAAGTTGACGTCATAGCACTTTGGTTCCATCTTTCTCGTAGAGAAAGATCGCACTGCCATCGAACGGTCGTGACGTCAACCAGTTTGTTGTCGCGCCACGAATAAGTAGGACATTTCAAAACTTGATATCAAAACAAAAAAAATTTATCCATCTTTCTAAATTGTGCGTCATCAGTGTACATAAAGGGATGATTTATTATTTCGAGGAACTATTTATTGATAACAACATACGGGGTATGTACAAACAATTCAGGTTGAAAAACATGAAACGTACTAGCTATACAATTGTACGTTACCTTTACATTTAAACGAGAAATAACCACAAAGTTTAAATTTTGTAAAATAAAATTAAAATCATAACCAAATGTACTGCTTCTTCTCGTCGCTAACATCGTCAACGTAGTATATCATTTTACTAAAGGTTTAAAAATATATAACTGTGAAACAGTTTTTAGAAGTGCTTTATTTTGTTCAAAAAGGCTTTCTTCCACAACCTATTCCCTGTAAGGACTTTCGAGATCTTGTTTTATTAAGTCTCTGTAAAAATGTACTCTAACGTTGCATTATAAATACATTTATTCGCTAAGCATTAGATTTTTGTACACCTGTCTCGATACTAGATGTATGCTGTACTTCTTTTCCTTCTGACTCTAAACGAGGAACTTCTGTTCCACCCTTTCTATGTCCTTCCATTGAATCTTCCTCTTCGTCCAAATCATCTAAAGATGCTCCCTTTTTTCCATACAATGACGGATATTCTAACATGCATGCTTGCATAGTTTTAAATGCTTCGTAACAATCGGAACCTTTTGGCTCGGCAGTTGAATAATGAAAACAAGAGAAGGCTTCGCGGAATTCCAAACCACATGGCCCAGTAGCCAAACCTCCCAAACAAGGACAGTTCCAATTAATTTCTCCAGTGGATAAGAAAGCACCAGGACTTGGTTCTGGTTCTGGCAAACTTATGTTACTCGGTGTTGCATGGTCCTCTTTCGTAGCAAAGATTATGGTATCTTTACCTTGCTTATGAATGTATGGCATTATTGAGTAATTAATAAAACCATACGAAACTAAGGTATCAACTTTTCTTTTAAAATGAAATTAACTTAGATTTTTCCTAAATTCGAATTGTCTCGAATCCTTATATTTTAATGTTGATAATTTCTACTATCTGCACTAAATGATAATAAATTTGCTGAAGCACGATGAACAAAATAGGTGCAAGGCAGTCCTTCGTATTTATCAGCTACAGTTAAAGCTGCTCTTAGACGTACGTAACAATCATTAGTACACCTTAGAACACACCTATGTTCTTTTGCATTAAATTTCAGAATATCAATGGTACACTTGGTTCCTTCCTCGCCAAATAATTGTTTTATGGATTGAAGAATGTTCTTCTTTAGATAGACGTCTGTTACTTCGATATTGCAATTATCTGACAGTATTCTACGAACAAAAAACACATCGTAAGTATAAATATTTTTCTTATAAATACAAATATAAAGTATAATAACTATAGCTGTATACGTAAAAACAAATGATAATTACTGTAAATATGTTTAAACATGAAATTAATTTGTTACATAGAAAAGAATGAATTTAGTAAAACCATAAAAGTGGCAAATATAAATTAAAGATGAAAAACAGAGTATCTTTTTAAATAAAAAAGGATATTTCCTTCTATGTTTAAAGTGCATATATTTAATTAAACATGTACTTAATTTTTAACTTAAAAATTAATTTACAACGATCATTCTTAAAATTGAGGTTAAGTTACATGTGTAAAAATATAACTGTAAAAATTGATTGCATGTACTAACAGAGAAACGTCTAAGTAATACATAGTACACATAACACTAACTCGCGACTCACATTAGATATTCACGAATTTAATATCGCACTTTTCAAGAGCTTTCATATAAACACTGCGGCATTTCACTCATGCTTCTCCGACACGGAGACGACACCACGTTATGCAATAAGTAGATGGCGCTATCAGACACTGCATCGCAACATTTAACTTGAAACGCAATCTTATCGACCAATTAATTTTTTATAACAATATACATATTTTAATATCGAATCGAAATTAATAACGAAATACATAGCAAACAGAATTTTCAGTATTAAAAATTCACATCTATAAAATATATAAAAGCGAATTTTCAAGAATTAGTATACCTATATATAATATAGTACGGCGTCCAATGAAATGGTTGGATTTCTAGTAAATATTTCAATACTGCTGCTAGTGATAAAATGGTTATATAAATGCAAGGCGGTCGTTGAACTAGCCTTTATCCTGCGAAATCCTACGAGACTTTAGGGTGGATGAAGAACTTATCGACATAAGCCTAAAACTTCTTATATATCAATGGGTAATTAACCATTATTGTATCTTTAAAATCTGGACAGCTGGACATTTAAAACCTTAAGCCGTAATCTTTTAATCACTTCTAAAACCGTATATATAGTTTCCTCTTACGAAATGATCATTTACTGCATATTCCGCGATGAATAATCCTTTTATACTCTCGATGATGTTTCGATACGAACCTTATCGTATCAGCATGCGTAAACGATAATAAATGAACTTATAAAATCAATTACAACGAGTTTAAAAAATTATTTTAACCTGAACTCGAAAGCGCACCATCTTCGCGCAAGGTCAATGCTAATGTCAATACCCAAGGTTAAAAGCTAATACAAAGAGAACTTTAAACTTTCGCTGAAAGTATACTCTTGCGATATTTTAACAAAATTCCTGACCAAGGAATAAAACTACTTCGTTGATTTTTATTTTCTTCATCTTTTTATTGCTTCACAGGACTACATTCTTATTGTCAAAGGAAACAAAATAATGGTCTTGCATCGTGACGTTGGCCTCCTAATATCGATTTAGACATGAAAGAAGAACGGAAGTGCATTAGATTTCGTACTTGCTGCAATATCTATATTCCTCTTTTGGCGCTCGGAACATCTGGCCTCCTTTTCTTCAATGCCGACTGATTTTGACAAGTCCAGGGATACGTTCGAATATATGATTTGCGAAAGAATTGACACTTGGGTTACCTGGAGCGTTATTTGAGTCGCTGGCCGACTGCAAACTCAGCGACTAAGCTACCCAAGACCCCTGTGCTTATCCTTTTCACTGTTCCATGTGGGTCCTGTATACAAGGCCTCCGCATTGGCGTAGCGCGACGAGAATTCGGTCAGGAGCTTACCATACACAACGAAATCGAACAGCCGAAAAATCTTGATTTCAGAGTACAAACCTGGAAAGTCCTTTTATCATCGGAGACATGTCTCGCTGCACCGCTCGTTCGGGCAGGATATTCTCATCGCTGCGTACGGATACGTACGCGTAAGGGCTAACCCAATAGCGTAGAAGGGCGGGGGCTCTTGGATGTCGTGCTGTATTTTCCAAAAATATTCCAAGGATGAGCACACCTACCGAGTTTTCTACGAACCTCCAAGGTACCGAGTGAAAATTTGCGAATTAAAGAATACCTTTTACTCGCTGAGGAAACGGACATGCCAAGCGGAGTACATACACGATGGGTAGAATGTGTGGCGTAGTAACTGGCGATACGCTAAAAGGAAATCGCAGGAACGTGTGAAAATTTGCAGTTCAAAAATATCGATGCGCTTCACATGGCTACGTTCCCTGACCGTCTCCCTAGTCCGATGCACTTGGAGATGCAATCAAACCGGACTTCTTTCATTTAAGGAGACGATCGATGATGCGATGCTTAAAACACGCGCGCGTGTGCGTCGCAAGCTCCGAGCTTTAATTCCATTCCTTCGTTGTATCTACGTGGGAAAAGTATCGCGTACACGGAAATCTGTAAGAACAGGCTGGAAAACGGCAAGGTTTACGTCACGCGTAACCGAGTCTTATTTTTATCCAGACGATAATGAATCTTTCGTACTGCAACACATCCGCGATTCCTTCATCGCACGTACTCGAATCGGTCCGATGGATTTTGCGAGAAAGCTCGCGGAAGTTTTGCAAAATATGTTTCGCGATACGCGTCTATGAAACGTTGCAGAGTAATCTACAATTCCCCGTGGCAACTATAATTCCGTATCGAGTTCGATAGAAGCGTGTCATCGAATACAATAGAAGACTAATGACGTCACGGCAACCATACTACGGAAAGTGGCGTATTCGCTGGAATGTCATGAATAACAAAGAATCGTAAAGTCATCGTATTTATGCGACTGTATTTAATCGTGAGCTCGTCGATACTTTCGGAAAAAAGGAGAGAGAGAAAAAGGGAGAAAGAGAAATAGAGGGAGAGGGGGAAAAAGCGTTTTCAACAAAATGTTTTACGCGAGAGGGCTCGCATGGCGCGTACTGAAAAAACAATGGCCGGTATCAGAGCGAAGGAATGTTAAATAGAACGAAATGTCACGAGAAAAATAATGGCAACAAAAGGTTGGAATTGCATCAGGAAGCGTGGTTCCTGTATTTTCATTGTGGCCGTTGGGGTCGCACACCTTCCGAATGCAAGTTTATTCAATTCGAACAGGAGGTTACGCGCTCAAAGGTTAAAAGATCTTGCGCCCAGCGCGTGCACACGCGCTTTTAAAATACACGCGATACGGCCCCGCGATATTTCCTTTTTTCTTTACGACGTGGAAAGTAATTACGTGTCCGGGCTACCGCGATCGCGCATAATTTATTTGACGAGCGCGTGCGCGTTACGCAATCCGTGGAGAATGAGGAAAACGGAAGAAGACAGCAAGATGCAACGAAAATAAGAAGATTCCCCGTGATCATTAAACCCCGTGTACACGAGCCGCCGATGGACTGGTTCTCCTTGACGATACGCACGCGTCATATTGCCGTTAGTAAAATCTGTCGATTCAGTTCTCTGAAAATCACTGTTACGCGCGTATCCCGCTTTCCCCTTCTCCTTCCCCCTCCCGGCCTGTTTCGCGATAGGAGACAACGCACCGGCGTATCTTTTCTTTCAACTGTACCGCGCCGAGTGTGTACTCCGAGGAACTCGGAAAAGTTCATCTCGCATACGTACTCCGTTTTTGTTTTTCCTTTCTTTTTCCCTATTTTCCTTTTAAATTCATCTTCTCTTACAGGGAAATTTGGGCGCAACCGCTAGATGGTATTAGAAATAAAAAGTATCGAAGTTTTAACATGAAATATAAATTATTCCCGTATCCCGCTTTTCCTTTCTTTTTCCCCCTCCCATCAGTTTCGCGATAGGAACAACGCACCGGCGTGTCTTTCCTTCCAACCCTCTACTGCGCCGCGTGTGCACCCAAGTACTTGGCCCAAAGGTTCGTCTCATATACGTACCCCATTCTCCTTTTTCTTTTCATTCTTTTTTATATTTTTTCTTCTCTTAGGGGGAAATTTAGACGCGATCGCTAGATGGAGTTAGAAATGAAGAGTATCGAAGTTGTTTTAACATGAAATATAAATATATTTGGGTGGTATTGTACAGTCAGTGATTCGTTCGTATATACAGAATTATGTACATGCCGAACACTATATCCTCGAATACTCTGCGCGTAAACTCACACATGCATACGTCTGACGAATCGATCGACCCACACGTGTTTTTCGAAATAATCATCCATTCATCCGGATCCACGCATCCATCCCATCCATTTCTTGGATCCGCATATCTCTCTTCCTTTCTTTCTCTCACGCTCCGGGTTTCCTTTTTATTATCCAGTGTTTTTTATAAGTCGAACGGTATTTTTTGGCGGTCGTTTACAATTTCAAGTGTTGCGATTAATTAGGACGTCTGCCGCCGCACAATTCCATTCTACGAGTACATTGGCGCCTTCTGCGAGCTTTTTTATCGCTTTTTTTTCCATTTATCTGTTTAAGGTCAGCCTAAGCGGATTTTTGATCGTTACGTCTTTTTATTTTTTCTCCTCCTTCGTCCCCCTTTTTTACTTACTCATTTTTTTTAGCCTTTTGCTTCCATTTTGCTTGTTTTTTTTTTTCTTTCTTTATTACTGTTACAGAACTACTCGTTACTTGTATTTTTATTAATTTTTTTTATTATTTTTTTGTTTTTCTTTTTAATCCGCGTTACAAATCACAACGAGGTATCGTTACTTTAGACTTCATGACTACAGTTAAGAGAATAAGCGTAGAAATGTATCACACTAGAGACTTGTACATTATCTTAAATGCGTAGGTATGTTCTGTTTTTTTCATTTTTTTTTTTTTACTGATAATACAGTAGTAGTTGGTTAGCTAGCTTCACCCCCGAAAAACGAATATCCCGTTCTCGAGCGAGCCGAGAGGGAAGAGGATCGTCATCGCCGACGAGCGTCAACGACGACGGCGATGGCGGCGATGGATAAACAAGGCGACACGCGGCGCGCGTTTCGCAAAAGGTATAACGCGCGGCGGCACACACGAGGCCACCACCACCACCATACGCCACTGCGCGGCACGACCGTGTGCGCGAACACAGGCGCACACGCGTACGCGCTCCGTGTCCCGTCGTAAAAGCTCTCCAAAGTCCTACACGCAACACACCGTGACGGGAAGAAATAACACGCGCATCGGCTCGAATTTTAACGAATGATCGAGCAAAGTAAACACACGCACACACGCGCGCGCGCGCGCGCACACACACACACACACACATCTCGGGCCTAACGAACACGCCTGCGGGTAACGGACAGATACGCGCGCGGTAGCGGGATCGGAGAAACTTTCGATCGGCCACGAAACCAAGGAACTAGGAGAACAATTGCTCGTTAAGTTGCACGCTTTTCGCGGAAACGTAGCAGGAGAGACATACGCAGCGAGCAAGCAGCACGTGGGGCCAACCACGGCCACGCAGCAGACTT